GGTTTCTTACCTGAAATTAAAATAATTTTTCACATAAAAGTTTTGCGTTCAAAAAATATAACCACTCATAAGAGATGCCCGCTAATTAGAGTGTCCGTCTATTCGGAGTTTTACAAACATATTTATGTATATATATATTTGTTGCGCTGCATTATAAATGAGCTTAGCAAGCTTAGGTGCGCATAAGTTTTGTTATTTTTTCTTCGATTTACGCACAGCAGGCACGCATATACAGTCCACTAACACTAAGTTAGGTACACATAAACTTGTACATAAATACATTCGTACATTCATATTCATATATGCAAAATATATATGGGCGTTTGTTCACGTGACTTACGTATGTACCTATAAATGAAAACTGCTACATATATGTACATATATACTCTTGTGTACACATAAGTACTTATATACGCACATATATGTATGTATAAATAAACTTTAGTTAGGTGGATCTGTCTATATGTGTGTACGTACGTTTGATGTGTTGTTTAATAGCTGTGTTTGGTTGGCAACCAAACGGTAACGGCTTTGACAATCATAATAATAAAAAAAATACATTAGCAAAAACAACAATAATCACTAGCTCTTGTTAACGTCAACCATAACGACAATCGGTGCTTAAAGCTCCGACAGCTCGTTTATTCGCTTCGCTTTGTCTCGGCTTTGTGCTGCGTCCGCCTACGGCCGTACCATTACCTATCTCATTGTAGTAAACGTGCATACATACTTGTACATATAAATATATATAAATATGTACATACATATGTACACACATATGTTTATTTATATGTATGTATCTATATATGTATGCAAACTTTTGCAAATTTTTATTTCTTCTGTATTTTGCTGACTTCATTTGTGTTCTAAAACACTAGCAATATATACTTGTAATATGTATGTTGCGTTTGTTATTCCGTGATACTTTCTACCATTACTCTGAGTGTTTTCATGCGACAGACAGAATACATTAGATACTCCACTTAATTGCAGCCGCACTTGACTTATGGACAAGTATGCCTATAACTTTTTTTTTATATTCAAAGCAAGCTATTAGATACATATATACAAATGTGTTTGTAAAAATTTTTTATCACAGCAAATATTTAATTAAAGTCATAACAAAGTTGCAATATTGAAGTTAAGCATAGTTTAAATTACTCATTAGTTACGTATACGCCATGGTGTTTCAACAAATATTTATATGTAGGAATGAGAAGAAACGTTAACTTCATCTACGCCGAAGCTATAATACCCTTCACAGCTGCATTTCTTATAGTATGAAAGGGTATGAAAATATTTTATCTTGATTTTTATCTTTCAGTTTGTATGGCAGCTATATGCTACAGTGGTCTCATGTGAACAATATGTTCGGATATTGCAGCCTTGCCTCGGGCAATAATCTATGTCGAATTTCGTAAAGATATCTCGTCAAATTAACAAGTTTTCCATACAAGAACTTAATTTTAATCGTTCAGTTTGTATGACAGCTATATGTTAAAGTAGTCCGATTTGAACCATTTGTTGTGAGATTATAGTGTTACCTTAAACAATAATCCATGTTAAATTTCATGAAGATATCTTGTCTAATTAAAACGTTTTCGATACATGAACTTGATTTGGAGCGGATAGCTGCCATACACTATATGATATAGTGGTCCGATATGGGCAGTTCCGACAAATGAGCTGCTACTTGGGAAGAAAAGAACGTGTGCAAAATTTTAGATTGTTATCTCCAAAATGAGAAATAAGTTCGCGGATATACAGAGAGATAGACAAACATGACTAAATCGACGCAGCTCGTCACGCTGATCATTTATATATACATACATATACTGCGACCTTTTCTTCTGGATGTTACAAACTAGGTAAATTATAATACCCAGTTATACCCTGAACATATCTTTAAAAATTCTCAACAACTACATAAGTATATGAATAATGAAATAGTTGAGGAAAATATCTCAATAATAAATCATATGCTGAATAAACGAATAAATAAATGAAAAACAATTACTTTTCAACAACACGATATTTTCACGCTATCGTTTAGTTTAATTTGTAGCGATTGAAAGCACAAGTACCTAGCGGCGAACACATCAACGGCCCCACCGCCAACCCCGAACGCCGTACACTATTCAACCTTTGGTGTTTAATGCCGTTGCGGTTTTGTTGGTTGCCGAACTGCTGCTAGTAATTCAAATCCCAATTATACAATATTGTAGTTGCTTTTGCTGAACTTCTGGTTCTTGTGTGGCTTTTAACCGTTTCGTTGTCGCTGTCGTTGCTGTTGTCGGCGTCGACAACATCGTCGAAGAGACGTTGCTTCGTTATCGTATCGCACAAACAGTCATACACTCGCATACATATGTACATATATCGTACAACGTCCGCTAAGCGTCGTTCGTCGTCGTTGTCGTCGTCGGTCGTCCGTCGCATTGCCGCAAAGTCGTCTCATATCATTTCCACTTTGGCCATTCCATTTAGTTCCTGTTGTTCTGCTGCCACTGTTTTGATTTTTGTTGTATTGCGCTTTCTTGTTATTGTTGTTATTATTTCACCTTTAGTTTTGCAATTGGCTTTGCTGTTATGGGCTTAGCGCGCGCACACAGTTCACTTCGACGTCAGCGACAACGTCAGCGCTCATAATGCGACTCGCTATGCCACGGTCGCGCTGCTGCCAATGCGTTTTGGGCTTTCTGTTGCTGTGCTTACACAAAATCACATCTCTCTTCGACTTTTTAGTCTCAATTCGCGTGCGCTACAATAATAATGTATCTGCGAGTAGTACCACGCGATTCTCCTCCACAACACAACCAAACATCAACGAGCAGCAGCAGCATAACAGTAGCCGCCGTATAGCAGCAAAATAAAATCTATAGACATACATATATACATACAAACATACAACCCACTTGTGTATGTACATGGAGATGTTGGTGTACAGTGACTTTTGTGCATAAATGTCGACAAGCAACGCAAAAATACTTAACTCAAGACATCTACGTATATACGTGTGCACATATGTATATAAATAAATACATAAAAACAAAATATAAATAAATAAATAAATATGTATGTATATTGACTCGTTTGGCCGAGCATTATATTCACTTTGAATATTATTAAGCAAGCAGTTGTTGAAAAAAAATTAAATTTAATACACAGCGAAGAAATGCAAATAATTAAAAAAAAAACATTAAAAAAGTTTTAAAAAAATGTATATAAAGTAAAATTAACATTACAATTAAAAAAAAATTTAAAAAATTGAAACAATAAAATAGAAGATAAGAAATTGTGGTAAAAAGAGCAGAGCTTATAAAAAGGTGCAAAAAAACACAGATAATAGTGGCGAAGATATCGCAACAAAGTGTTTCACAAGCAATAATTGCAAAAACACAAAAGTAAATTGAATAAAAATACAGTTCGAAAGTAAGTGAAAAAGTTAAAAGTGTTGACAGATAAATGCCAGCCACATTTTATTATAATAATACAACAACAACATTAACAAAATAAAGAATACAGTGTAGTAAAGAAGCACAGAACAAATTAGAAATACAAATAAAACGCTTGGAACGCATACTCTTACACAAACATACATACATACATACTTACACATAAATTTGTATTAATCAACTTGAATTTAAATATCAGTGAGTTAAATATGAATGTCGCTTTCGCTTTATGTAAACGTGTATATACTTGTACATATGTACATATCCGTTCTAGTTGATTTGTTAGTGTTTTAATTTTAAGTAATGAAAGTGTTCGAAATATTGAAAACTTATAACGGATTATAACGATTTGCTTCAAAATTCTCATATACTTTCCATTAGATAATATATCAAAATTCAGAAATTATTTTAAAAAAATTTTCTACTATAGCAATACAGTGGTGCGCCATAAAATGGAGACGAAAATAATAATATTTTTATAGCCTGAACAGAATATATTAAGTTTGCCACGAAGTTTGTAATACCCAGAAGGTAACCTTGAAGACAAGTGAGTCGAACTAATAGTCTCTCAGTTTTTGAGATATCGATCTGAAAATTTGCACACGTCCTATTTTCTCTAAAAAGCTGCTCATTATTATAGCATATAGCTGACCGATTCAAATCAAGTTTTTGTTTTGAAAACTTTTTTATTTGACAAAATATCTTCACAAAATTTGTCACAGATTATCACCTAAATCAACAATCACCGAAGAAATTGTTCAGATCGACCGTTAAAAATCAATTCCTTGTATGGCAAACATTTTAATTTGAGAAATTATTTTCATGAAAGTCGGCATATATTATATTATTGTCCAAGGCAACGATGCAATCTCCAAATGTATAGTTCAGATCAGACCACTACAGCATATAGCTGCCATACAAACTGAACAATCAAATCAAAATAAAGATCTTTTAAAATTTTTTATGCTATAAGAAATGCATCTGTGAAAGATATTATATTGTAATTTCGGTGCAATCGAAGTGAACGTTTTTCTTGTTTTGGATAAAAATAGTTTGCTATTATATTGAAATATAGAAATTTGGTCATTTGGGTCAAATATCCCTGGTTGCCTCCTAGTACATGAGTCTCCACGCAATATAATATACACGTACATATGCAGGATCTAATCTAAATTTTCAGAACGTTGTTTGTTTTTACCAGAACTACAATTTAAATATCATGTATTATAATACTCTGGGGTCGAAAACATTGCTGGCCATCAATGCTACAAATAATATTATTTTTTGGTTTATTCGATAAGTTGAATAAGGTTAGATAGATAATATTCAAAACCAATCATGACCGGATAATTAGCAAATGTGTAGTTCCATTTTCTTGCACATCACTGTAGAAGCTGATAATTAAAATTAAACGTTCTTCTTTGCCACATACCACTAAAAATTATTGAATAATTAACATTTTTGGTGCAAATATGATATCTAAAAAAATACAGTTATTTTCTTAAATATGAATATGAATATTGAATTCAGCAGAAAAGTTTTTTTTTAATATATTATTAAATTATCATTATAGCTTATTATTCAAAAGGTGTGTAATAAGTAGATATGATAAACAATATCTTGAATATTGTATGTGTACATATATAGTAGATACATACATATGTATGTATGTATGTGAATTTGTACATATTGTTCCACGCATATATAACAAACCTAATTGGAGAATATAGTATAATTATTAAGTTAAATCGCCGTAGCCGATAAATCTTCGCACCTTAGTGTGAAAAACTAAATAAGCAACATTAAACAAATTGAATTTGAAAATAAGATATGTATGTACATATGTATCTACTTACTCGTGCATATTAAAATGCAATCCTAACTAAGCAACTTTTGTCTCATTTTCACCAACTATTCGAAGAGAAGCGTTAAAAATACAAGCATAAAAATAAAACTAAAGCAAAGATACCTACAAACATACATACAGATATATTTACATACATACTTACCTAATTAAAGATATGAAACGCTTTAAGAAAATGTGGCTTTTTTTTTTAAATACTTTCCATGTACCGTGGCAAAGTTTTCGAATTTAAGTATACACACATTCGCATCTACTTAGGAATGTATGTATGTATGTATGTATGTATGTAAATGCGAGTACAACACAATTAAAATACACCGCCTCATCCAACCCGCGACCACTTAGCAGCCCTCTGCAACCTCTTGAAATAGCAACGCCCGTTGAACACTACTTGTTTTTGTTGTTGTTGTTGTTGCTGATATTTTTTGGTTGTTTTTTTTTTTTTTTACTTTTCGCAAATGGTTCCTCTGCACAGCATATGTATGCGCTCTCATTCTTATACTCTCGGCCCCCAAATAGCCGAGCGACTCTAATATCGGTAGCCCGCTGCACCGCTCTCTACTACTCCCATGCAATTTAATGTTTTGCACTGAGTGCCAAGTGCTGTTTGCAGATGTCTTTTTGTTTCGTTGTTTTTGTTTTTTTTTTGTTTCGCCTGCCTGGCCTTCCTTGCACACCCTCTTGGCTGCATGCTCGTCAGTTGCCAGTTGCTGCAAAGCGATACAATTTTACTCGTTTGTATGTATGTATGTATGTATGTAGCATGCATGCAAGTGGATACATTTGCAAACGATTGGCACTCGTATGAATTTTTATTATTTTTTCCGTACTTGATTTTGTTTTAAGACTGTCCACTGACTGTTCGGTTGGTTGATTGCTGTTTGTGATATGATTTTTTCCTGTTACTTTATTTCATTTTTGCTCGCTTTCGATCGCATCACACAACTTTTGCGTTCATGCCTACTACAAATCGACATAAATACATACATACATACAAACATACACACTCACATACAATACACTCTTTCCTCTCGGATATATTTAATTACCTCGTCTACAAGCTATGCAAGTATGTGCGTGTATGTGTATTTGTTTTAGCGCCCAACTTATGGTCTAGCGCTCCACCGCTCCAACGCTTTTAACTGCCATCAAACTACCGCCATACCCGTCTTCTTCCCTCCCCCCAAATGTGATTTTTTGCCATTCTATTTCCATTTTATTTTATATATACATATATATTTTTGTGTGTTGATATTTTTCGCTTTGCTCCACTCTACTACTCACCAGTTCCGTAATTCACTTGTTCCCACTTTTGCCCTGCTCCACTCCTTACGTTTCCCACTCTCGCTACCACCACTAGTTGTTACGTTGATTCGTTTTTTTTTTTTTTTTTTTTTGCTTCGCCCACCGCTCCCGTCCTGCCGTCGTGCTTGATTCCCCTCCTTCCTTCACACACTGCCTTTTCATTTGCCTGACAGTCGGTTGGCCTGTTGTTCGGTCGATTGAATTTTTTATTAAAATATGTTTTTTTGCGTGTTCCTATTCGTATGTATTCCATCTTACCTCATAAATACATGCGCGCATATTTTCAAGTACTGCTGCTGTGCCTGCAACAGCCCCCTTGGCCTACTCCATCAGTTCTTAGCATTCAGGTTATCTCTATATACTCCACTATATGTCTTGTACAGCTATATATCTGTATATCTGTATATTTAAATATGTATATAAAAATGCCCGTTTTATATATATATATGTACATACAAACATTTGCACCAATTTGCTGTATACCATCGTTTAATCTCGACATTTTTCTTCTACTTTTACTCTTAGTTTATATTTATTCTGCATATTTTATACCCTTTCGTTCTTCTGATTGTTCTCACTACCCACACTATAGTCTTCGATTCGATTTCAATTTATTCTATTATGTTTTCGTTTGTCATACTCTTCCGTTATTATGGTGTGTAACTCAAGTATAAAGCCTCGACTCGTTTTTGTCTGAAAATCGTTAAGTTTTGATTCATCGACTTAACAATATTAACCGTCCTCTCTCAACTTTTTTGCAGTGGTTTTTGTTTTTGTTGTAATCGTGAGTTTACTATGTAAATATTTTTATTATTATAATAAAGTAAGCAGTATTATTCGTTTAAATTTGCTTGCTATTTATAAACCAACTTTAATAAATATATGTATTTTACATTTATGCTTAAAAATATCAAGAGTGTACATATATTTCTTTATGTATGTCAGATGCAAGCTCAGTTAATTTCTACAAAATATAAAAATGTGTTTTTTTCGGAATATCTTCCAACACTACTATACTTGCGTCAAGAGTTTATTAGTTCTTGATTTTATAAGGGTTAATCGTTGTTTCCATCTCTGTTATTCACTATATTTCCCATAGACCCATTAACCACTTGTAAACTCAGAAAGGATGTTAAATACCATTCATATAACATGTTCTTCCGGACAGACTGTCCTTGACAGATTTAACTTCCATTAAAAAACAATCGACTAGTATTGTTTGCAACTAAGTTACTGTTGCAGCAGCAAAAAATATTCATTAAATTCTTTTGCAGTATCTATTTGAAGAATATTTCGGGATTCGGTAGGAACATCTGCTTCTCTCTGCAAATCCTAAGCGCTACAAGAGACGTTTTGTTGGTTGATGGTTCATGGCATATCATTCGATCATTTGATTGCTGCATGTTTTCACAAACCGATGCCTTGCAATATTTCCAGCATTTTATGGCATATCTCAAAAGAAAATAAAAATGGTGCTGGTTTGGACAAGGTCCAAAAAAGTTGAAGTCAAATCAAGAGGCTATCTAGCGTCATATTTTCGCGTCTCACGTACTAGACGTGTAGTTGAAAGTTTTCGTCATTGTAGGTCGTTTGATCAATTCCTCTGATCCGTAAGTACTTGCTTTCAAGAGCATAGACCGTTCTATCATTAAAAATAAAAGCTGGCTTGTTGTGTGCTAAGTTAGTGCAGACTTCATTATTGTCTATACTATGTTCTCAGCTCAGCATTTTAAAAACTGAAATCCTTGTAGTTTTATAATATTTATACCCTGAAAAGGGTGTATTAAGTTTGCGACAAAGTTTGTAACACCCTGAAGAAAATGTCGAAGACCCTATAAAGTGTATGCATAAATGATCGGCGAGACGAGCTGAGTCGAATTAGCCATGTCCATCTCCGTCGTTATACATTCTCCAAATATATTGTACAGATTGGACCATTATGGCACATAGCTGACATACAAACTGACCGACCAAAATCAAGATAAAGATCTTTTTACACCTTTTTATACTATATGAAATGCACCGGTGAAGTGTATTATAGATTGGTACAGCCGAAAATAACGGTTTTTCTTGTTTTTTGGTTTATAAATATGTTCTCTTAAAATAATATGTTTTTTTTTTATAAAATCTCTTCTTTATAAACAATGAACCCTAAGTGTATGTGAATTTTTAGATGTAATGGCGCTAATCTCTTATGAGATATAAATATTATCTCATCAGTTATGGTGTCTATGGTGTTTATTTAAAATATGCCATAACTCAAAAATTACAAAAGTGGTGATTAGCATACTTAATGATTTCAATTTGGGAAACTCTTTCAAAATGGAGCATAACGGTAATATTCTAGCAACTAGAGTTGGAAAGATATCGTTGAGAAAATGTTTAACATATTATTATATTTGTATACTTAACTAAAATTGCTAGTTTTTTGAGTTATCATTTTTTTTAATAAGCAAGCATTATAAGTAAGAATATATATTTTTTTGACTCCTATGCTTTTTTTTTCGTCTCAGTACTGGTTGCTCTGATATTTCGTTCGTACACTTTCATGCTGTTCACATTCGTGATACTAACCACATACATACATATGTATATATGTATATATGCAAGTAAGTACGATGAGCGTAAACTTGTTGTAAACAAGCTAATAAATATACCTACGGCTATATACGAGCACATATATGGCTATTAAACGATTCGCCTATAGATTTCAATCATTGAAATTAGCGGTGAGTTTCAACCGGAACGCGTTGTTGAGTGGCAGTTTGACTAAGTGGCTAACTGAATTAAGTGTAGATACACTAATAATAAGAGAATATGAAAATTGACTGAAGCTGAGTAACAAAAGAAACTGCGTAAGCAAGAATAATAAAAAAGAGGCGTTTGGTTAGTTAGAAAGTCAGTCAAGATGTACAAGCTGATTGTCAAGTGCGCTCACAAGACGCACGGACGGACAGATTAAAGCACCAAATAAATCTCAACGAATCGCGCTGCTGAAGCGCAAAAAGAGGACAATTATAGGCACACGTTGCACGGACAGACAGATAAACTTACGAAATGGAATTGAACAGATAAAGATAGCAGCTACTCATGTAGGTACTTATGTATGCATGTATATCTTTAAGTATGTGCATAAGTAGGTGAAGAATGAAGTTAAAAGTAGAGAAGTTTTTCCAGTGCCATACCACACCCGTTGTTGTCGTTGACGCATGGCGACAAGTTTGCTAGCAATGCCTCGATAATGTCGCATTCAACTGGAATATGTCTCGCCTGCGATTTCGCACAAGCGATTAACCGTCCTCCGACATCCTAGCACTTACTCAGCCTGTTTATACAGTGGCGTGCCATAAAAGTGTGCATACACACGAAGAAAATTCACTGTTATTGCGTATTTATTACCAGACGCATAATTTTTTTGTTGGCTCGGCATTTTGGGTTATACATTTTAGTTACATTTATTCAATATTTATTTTGTTAAATATTAATTCTGAAGAATTACTAGAGAAACAATTTTTATTTCTCTCCAAATTGTTAAAAAAAATTTCAGCAGCACTCAAAAAAGGCCACACTTTCTCAATTAATTCTGAGTGTGAGGAAAAATGGAAATTTCTCTCTTTTAGGATCTATAAGACATGTACTTGAGTACATAGGAAAATATTTTTATTGACAGTTTGACATAAAATGGCGGCTAGTGGTCCAATCTTTAGAATCACCTCTTTTAAAACGGCCTCTACGGGTGACTTTGATTCCAGAAACTCGTGCTACCTGAAAAATAATTCAAAAAAACAATATTTTAATCTACATAAGCCTTGTTAGATTCTAACAAGAAGTTGCAATAACAAAAGTACGTAGATCATAGTCTTAGTCGCCGTGTAGCATCCTGGCTCAATTTGAAAACTAATGCTTCGAGAAAAACGCGATTAGTTGTGTTACTTTTCACTATTCTAACAATTGAGTTATGTTTTTCAACCAGCGTACTTCAAACCAGAAAAATACCATATACATTTTTTGAAAATGATAGACTGGCCGAACCCCTTAAACTGTTCAAATTCAAATTAGAAAAATGACAGTATGATTATTGATTTATATGTTACGACTTTTTATATACAACATTTTTTCTCTAATATTCCATTTTACCCTGTCAGAGATTTGAACTCCGATCTGAGGTAAATATACTAATAATGAAATAAAAATGGTGACGAAATATTTTCTTTCTATCTATGCATTGTTTTATACCCAAAACTGTAAAAGCTCCTTACTCAACGCACACTCTTCTCTTGGCAGTACTACAACTCCCACTGACACATCTTCGTCATTGACATAAGCATAAGCGACGCTGCAATATAGCGCGTCTCGCTATCAGCAACAACATCAAGTTTTAGGTTTAGCTCGTGGCGTGTGTCGACTACGGGCTGATTGGGCGGTCGGGCTGTTGTTTGGTGACTCGGTATGCTTGTTGGTTTATCGGTTATCGATAGTTGCGCTCGTCTTTCGGTTTAATGCGCGTAAATGTACACTTATTACAAAACTATCCGACACTTTGTTTTAGCCGATTTATATAATTATATATTATATAAGTATGTATGTGTGTACATATATATATTTATATGAATATATATGGAAATATAAACGTTTGTACATAGTGACATTTTATTATTTTGTACTTTGCATTGCCTTGTTTCTCTCCTCAACCAACAACAACTAAGACTGATTAAATATTTCTGCGTCTATACAATATTTACTGTTGTATATGTATACCATATACTACGAGTATATATGTAAGTAATCTTGTTGTTTTGCTATGCGTTAAAATTTAAATTTAGAATAGTATAAAATATTTGATTTCAAATTTAGCTGAGCAGAACTAAATTAGAAGTTAAAATAAGCGAAAGCTTGGGAGATCAATACTTTTTTAAATCCTTTTGTTCACATACATATGTACATATACATTGGTGTGTATGGGCATTCGTTAGACTTGATTGCTTGACTATATTAAAAAATAACATTTACATGATAATGCAAGCAATTTATAGGATTATAAAATTTGATTAATAACCAATTGTTCAATATAACTAAACAGCTAAAATTATTGATTTTTTAAATAATTTTTAACAAAAACTATATATATAAAAAACAAAATACAAAAAAAAGATAAATAACTAAATAATTAAATTAAATATTTAAATTAAAATTTAATTATTACAAAAAATTAAAATTTTTTTATATATTTATTTTTTAATTAAAAAATAATAATTTAAAGAATTTTCAAAATTTGGAACATTCAAAGTATTAAAAAAATTAAATAAACAGCTAACTTTTTGATTTTTGAAATAAAATTAAATATTTAAATAATTTTAAATAAATAAAATAAGATAAAATAAACAAATATTTAATAATTACATAAATAATACGTATATAAAATAAAATATATAAAATAAAATTTAATAATTGGAAAAATTTTAATTTTATATATTTTGTAATAAATCAAACAAAATTAATAATTCGATATATGTATTTTGTGAATTTAAAATGTACAAATTATTAAAAGCGGAAATAAAAAAAAAAAAAAAATTATTGTCTAAATAATATATAAAATAAAAACATACAATATTTTATAA